TAATATATGTGCTAGAAATATATTAGCTAAATCAAGTGTTGTCAAGAACACAGAGTTAGGAGTGTTGGGGCATCTCAGAAGGACCTAAAGAGAGGACTTAGCCATTCTTGAACAGTGACAGAGAATTTTAGTTGGATAAAGGGGTGATTAGATTCTAGTTTGTGGAAAGAGAAGAAACAGTGTGAGAGGAATGGCCCACAACTTCAGTGTGGCTGGAGCAGATGGTCTATGGGATCATGGAGGCTTTTATGTCATGCCAAGCGGATTGGGTCTTTCCCTTATAAACAACAGGGGACTAATGAAGACGTTTAAGCTGGGGAATGAAATGTTCTTTAGAAACACAATTTTAGAGGCAGATGGCATAAAGACAGGAGGACAGACTGTTGTGGCGGGGCAGGGGCAGCCAAGAAGATGCTTCCACAGATGGAAGAAGACATGAAGAAAGTCTGGATTGGCAATAGGACTGGAGAAGAAAGAACAAGTTCAAGAGGTGTCTACAAGCTAGAGTCAACTGAACTTGGTGACTAATTGGATGAAGAGAGTCAGGGAGTAGAAAATATGATGGAGACTCTGAGTGTCCTGGGGTTGGCCAGTGATTCTCTAAAGAGATAACATTGGCTTTAGTGAGTGGACAGGTTCAGCTTGGACATGCTCCACTTGATGAATAAACTGTATCCAGAGAGAGATGCTAAAAGGAACAGGAAGCTGACCTGGAGGGCTGAGCTGGAGATAAACATCAGTGTAAATGAGTTCCCACACAAATGTCCTGTGTGGGAACCTAAAGCACTGTGCATAGCAACCGAGAAGTGGGAAGTATTCATGAATCTCTACCACACACACCCCTTCCTCTCTGTGGAATAGAGGCAGTCTCATTTAATCTCATGTGATTTCCATCCTATGATAATTTCAAACCAGTGGCAGTGAAATCACTAACAGAGTAGTTTATTTGCAAATTAATTATGTTGTGAATATTGATTCAAAGTTTTATAGCACCTTTGGGGTTTTTCCATTTTCACTAAGAAAATAACTTTTAACTAGAAGAAAATGGATCTTTCATTTTTCTTATTATACATGCTTAGACAACTAAGGGGTTTTTTTTTTTGCCCCTTTCAGAGTTCCTTAGAGAGTAATAGCAGCTTGTGTACTGTGAAGGGGTGTGTGTGTGTGTGTGTGTGTGTGTGTGTGTGTGTGTGTGTACGCCGAGAGAGAGAGAGAGAGAGAGAGAGAGAGAGAGAGAGAGAGAGAGAGAGAGAGACAGAGAGAGAGAGACAGAGAGAGAGAGAGTTGGTTTGGTGGTTTGTCTTCACTTTTCTTCACATTTTTGATTTGCCTTTCTCTAGACCAGCTAGGGTTTATTTTGCCTGCCCATCCTACTGCGGAACCCACTCACTCACTCTTATTAGGTTTTGGGATCTTTTTGACTTACAACGTGAGTGTAGGCATGATGCACAGATAAGGGTCTGCTAGCCAGGAATCTAAAAGTTTTAGCTAGTTGACTCATAAGAAATGACACTGTTTTTATTAAAGATGAAAGAGTGGCAGGAAGCACATTTTTAAAATGATGCTGAAGTTTATGAGTAAGAGATCAAATGAAGCAAGACTCCAATACAAGCTCTTTAAGGTTCATAGCTGCTGCTTGTGTCACGCTCTTATGCTCTTCTGAGCCAACTAAAGCTTATCATTGTTTGACTACAGAAAATATGTTTAATAAGCATTATCAATAATTGCCAACTCAGGAGATCTTATCTCTCACTCTGAGGCCTTTGTAGAGGTTTGTGGTTAAAAGTCTGAGTTAAAGAATAAAATCACACTGGTAGTCTGTTTTACATCCTCTGTACTGTGTGGGGTCTCTACATGTCTCTTTCAAGCTTTTTTTTTTTTTCAACCAGAGCTAATACAACTGTTTACAGAGTCCTAACTGGGTAGGTCCTAGGCAGACCATCTGATAGTAGGAAATAAAATAGTTTGGCTATCAAAGGAATCAAAACCAGTTTGGATTCAAAAGACGGAGAGTCTTCTGAGCTGTCATGAAGTCTATGGGGAAGGACTTTCTCTAGAGATTTTCTTCTCTTTTTCTTCTTTTTCCTCCTCCTTCTCCACCCCTCCTCCTCTGCCCAGCTCCTTTGTTTTTTGTTGTTTGTTTGCTTGTCCAGACAGTATCTCACTCTGTAGCCAAAGCTTGGCTGGAACTCACTATGTAGTCCGAGGATGGCCTTGATCTTATGACAGCCTTTCTGCTTCAGTCTCCGAAGTGTTGGGATTATAGGTATGCGCTGTCACACTGGCTCCAGAGATTTTAACAGTCCCTAGGAAAAAAAAAAGAGACACAAATGTTCTTATTTTAAAAAATTGAAAATATAAAAACTCACATAATACAAAAACTCCGATTTCACTTTTGAAAACAGTCTGTTCTTACAATAGTTATACATAATATAATTGGCACAACAAATATAACAACTATTATTTAAAAAAATGACAACAGCAGGCACAGATTTGAGTCTTGTGTGAAGAATATACCCTATAAAACATAGTGCTCTGTGTGAGTCAGGAAATATACCACCTGTTTTCTACAGTGAATATCATCTCGATGTGTCAGCAGAAGACAAAGCAAGTGTTAAACTTAATACTCAGATTTTAAGACATCACTAGGATATAAACAAGCATATTCTCATTTGTGTTTTTAACTTAGTGTTGAAATGTGTATCATTGGTGCTTGTATGAAAAATCACTAATATGTGGTGTTTCTTGACACTTGGGTGGATTAACACAATGGTTGTTCTGGGGCTCCATGGCCTGCCCACACACTGGACAAGTTGAACTGTTACATACTTCAAAGTATTGAAAGAATCAGTCAGAATTAAACCTGTCTGGCCCTCAGTAATCATGAAAGGGCCAAGAAAAACATTGATTAGTTAAGCAAAACTTTTTGAACCCGGTAGGTATTTAAAGGCAAGGAGCTTCTTTCTTTAGATTATTTTCTAGGTATGTGACATGTAATCTTGGGAAAAATACTCACAATTCTGGTTCCAGTTTAACTTGATGTAAGCAGATATAAGATAGGAAATAAGTGTGAATGCATACATCCATGTGAGTAAATTTTAATCATAATTTACTATTTACCAGGTGCTGTTGTAGATATTTGGGATGGAATTGTAGATTCCTAATGAGGTTCTCATTTCAAGCTTATGTCATTATGGGGTAGCCAGATAATAAACAAGTAAATAAACAGTCAGACCTGATTATTTTATACAGTGGTAGGTATTTTCTCCCTCAGGAAATATGTCAGAAAATGACTTAGATATGCACTTTGAATAGGTTGACCAGTAGTCTCTGAAGAAACATTATTTTGAATAATGAAGACAAAGCAGTCATTTATAGAGAAGAGGCTGGGCATCAGTGGGCCAGAGTAAAAGCCAAAAGTTAGGTAGCTTTGCATAGAAAGTGGAGGGGATGGGGAGGAAGGAAGGAGGGAAGAGGAGAGAGAGAATTCTAATTTGGGCCAACTGTGATTAAAATTGGAGTAAAAAGATTCAGTTGGTCACAGGCACAATCATCAAAGCTTTCTTCCTGTTGACATACTTTTAGCGGTGGTCTTGAAAGACTTGGCTCTTAGTGTCACTTTCCTGCTTCCATTGATATTGCTGGTAGCACTTTGACTATGGCTTGAGCTAATGCTCCTTCATGAACTCAGGAAGTTGTGTGACCTAAGGAAGAAAGCTGAATCTGACTGAGCCTTTGTCTATGCGTAGTAGACTTGTTGCTTGGTATGGAAGTCCACCCTGTCTGGCTGTGTGTGTGTGTGTGTGTGTGTGTGTGTGTGTGTGTGTGTGTGTGTATGTGTTGCTGGGAAGCAGGTAAAATGACAAGACACCAGGAGTGTGAGATGAGGGTATTTGTAGGATGCTCAGGACATGGACAAACAATGTATATACGAATTTACTGGGCATTGAGATGGTCTGGGAAGAATGTGATGAACACAGTAAAAACACTAGCAGAGGCCACATTTAGGAGCAAGTTTTTTTGTGTTAGTTGGTATTCGAAGAAAACATAGAAGTGAGAGAAGTCAACAAAGAGATGGGTGAGAGGGATACTCAAAAACTTAACTACTTCTGTGGCAGAGGAATTAACCAAATGGATTTGATAATCTACCAAACAAAACAGATTCTGGATATTTGCTATCTGGATTACTGCTATCGTGCCAGTAATCCAGCCTGAATATTAGACAGGGAGATAAGAATATCCAAAGAAAATGGAGGAAGGATTTTGGCTTCTGCAATTGTAAGACATCAGTATGTTCACACTTTCCTTGAACTGCCTGTCCATTTGTCTATTAAATGCTTTTCACTGTTACAGGGGATTCTCTTGCTGGTCTTTCTGTCTCTCTCCACTACTGCGTGTAAGTATTTGAACCTGTGCACATGTGCGTGCATGCATGCTGAGGCTGGAGATTAGTGACAGGCGCCTTGCTCCAGTGCTCCTCACTTCAGTTTTTGAGGCAGGGTCTCTCACCGAACCCGAAGCTCCCTGATTTGGCTAGATTGGCTATATTTGGCTGTATAGGTTAGTCAATGAGTTCCAAGAATGTCTCTCCTTCCCACCATTGTGCAGTGCTGGGGTTGTAGATGCAGGCTGGCACATTCACCTTTGTTTGTGGGTGCCGGGGATCTGAACTCATGCCTTCACACTTACAGGGCAAGCTCTTAACAGACTGAGCCATCCCCCCAGAACCCCCCCCTCTATTACTGTAACAAATTCGGCTAGAGGCTAAGAAGAATTTGTGATTTGGTATTTAACACATCTGTTCTATAGGTGCAAAGTAATTTTGAGGTAAATATTTAGCTGCTGTGGTGGCAAACATGTAAATTTCAGGTTGACGGATGCCGAATGCTTTTCTAGACTGAAAGCTGAAAAAAACATAGGAAATGTGGAAACGTGAGTCAGTCTTCTTAGTACCCGTGTACAGTAATGAAAAGGTGAGCCAGGACATGTTTAGACTAAGAATGATCATTGAAATGAATATTTATGAGTACTTGATGGATGACGCTCTGGAGGCCCCAGGTGATTTTAATGACACACAGCGTAGTTCTGCCTGAAAGAAAGGCTGAACCCTTCCTAGCCACCCCACATCCTACCTTCTGTAGGCAAGAAAGGTAGTTTAACTCGTTCACGTTCGTGTTTTCCTGACTCCTCGCAATGTTCTTTTTTTTTAGACAAGGTTAGTGGGAACATGGCGTCTTTGATGGGGACTCACCTGACAGTGAAGTTGTGTCTTGGTTGTCTGTGGTCTCTTCTGGGTGTGTTCTGACCCTTAACCCACAGAAAGCAAGTGTTGGAAAGAGCCCCCCAATATCTCTTTCTCTGTCTGCGTGTATGTGCACAGAACGTATGAGTACACGTGTGTGTGTGTGTGTGTGTGTGTGTGTGTGTGTGTGTGTGCGCGTGCGCGTGCATATGTAGAGGCCAGAAGTCAACGTCCGGTGACGCCTTAATCACTTTTTACTTTGGTTTGGAGACAAGGTCTCCTCGTGGACCTGAGCTCACCCTTTTGGCTAGTGTTTGCCCAGTAAGCCGGTCTCCATCCTGCAGCGGATGCCAGGCTTTTGGTGTCCAAACCCAAGTCTTCCTGCTTATGCAAAAAGCACTTTACTCTCTGAGCCATTGTCCCAGAAAGAACTCTTTAAAGGTATTGTTTTCACTTCTTATTTTAGACGAAAAGAGAGAAGTCCACAGGGGTACACTAGGCACAGACCCATATGCCGGTCATGGGACAGAACCAGAATTTGCTTTTGAATTCCTTGGGCAGCACTGCTCAGCACTTCCACAGTTACTTCTCACCTCGCACTGGCTTGCGGGTCACGGAGTGGGCAAAGAACGGGAAACAGCTGGGGTACAACGCTTTTTATGTCTTGTGTGTGTGTGTGTGTGTGTGTGTGTAGCGGCTGTAGACAGTTTTGCCCCAGGATCTTTTTGTGGTTTGCTTGCTGCCCTTCTAAAGTCTCCGGGAAATTTTCTCTGAACAACGCTGAAGGAACTGAGAAGCCGTCCACTGATCTTATCTTCTGCAGCAGATAGGAAGCGTCGCGCTCACAGACAAACGTCCTCTAGCAGAACACCCTCCACTTAAAGCCAATGCAGCTGCACCTGTTCGTCTGTTCTCATCCCCTTTGCCTTTAACTTACACTTTTCTCTGTATTGAAAAGAAGTGAAAGCAGCATTATTTTCCTTCTGCATACCTTCAGACTTCTAAATTGTAAGACAAAACATCCATACAGAGACGTGAACAAATAATAAAAGAACACTTGGAATGAATAACGATCGCATAGGCTCCCTCACCCCCACAATTACCACACGCCGAGAATAAAACACGGTCAGCACACAGACACCTTTCTGCTTTCTATGTTCTTTCCTGATTCAGACTCTCTTCTCTCCTCCAGGCAACAGCATTAGGGTGGATTTTGTGGCACCCATTCGAGTTATACATCAGGCCTCTACTCTCTTGGTGATTATGCAGGGAATCACGACTTGTGGACATTTACTTATCAAAAGTTGCACATAGCTCCACTACCTTCCTGCTGTGTTCTGGGCAGACAGGTGGCTTCTTCTGGTGTATGGAAGATGTGACTTCCAATTCGGCTGCATCGTGGGTGGTCTTTATAGCTGATACAGGCACATCTCTGGTCAGTCTTAACGATTGCTTTGATTTGAAGGTAGTCAGTGCCTTCCCCAAGCTTGTTTTAGACACTCTTTCTAGATGGCTGTGTGTCTAGCTGTGGGCAGTTTAAAAGCAATTCTTTATGACTGGTTGAGATTCTTGAATCTGTGCACTGTGCCTGAATTCTGGATAATTTGTCTACCTATCTTTTAGTTCATCAGTTCTCTTTATAGCCTTGCCTAACATACTTTTAAACCTACTCATGGTTTTTTTTTATCTGTTAGAGCATTTTTTGCAAGTCTTAATTATTTCTTTTTGAAATTAGTTGACTTAAATTTTTCCTTGACCCTGAAACTATCATTTTTCTTTTTTCTTTTTTTTTTTTTTTTTGGTTTTTCGAGACAGGGTTTCTCTGTGTAGCTTTGCGCCTGTCCTGGAACTCACTTGGTAGCCCAGGCTGGCCTCGAACTCACAGAGATCCGCCTGGCTCTGCCTCCCGAGTGCTGGGATTAAAGGCGTGCGCCACCACCGCCCGGCACTATCATTTTTCTAAACATAATGAGCACAACTGTTTCTTTTTGGGGCATCTGATAATTCAAAGGCGTGTGATGCTCTGGTTGCTTGTGTTATCTGCTGATTCTGTTGTTCCCTTTGCCTTCTATTTCATTCTTTTTTATTGTACTTATCACTGTAGTTTAAAGCACTCTTTTGTAAGGTTGATTCACATCTCTTCTACACAGGAAGTGTGGGGTAATGGCAGTCCAAGGTCACTTTAACTAAAACCCCAGGACTGAGATTTTCCTGGACTACACCCGACATGAGAGTCAGTTCCTTTGGGCTTCCCTTTACTCCAAGGATCATTCCAGCATTCTTTAGGAAGCAGCTTATTGAAGAAGTATCTCCCAGCTTCCTCACTTTGCAGACTCTGGGAGATAAAGCACAAAGGCAGAAGTTTGAGCATGGGAGAGTAATAAATGTTCTCAGAGCAAAAGCCCCTCTCAAGTTCTGCTCATGTCCCAGGTTCCAGGGTGTTGTCTCACGTTTAACCTGCATTTTCTACATTCTCTTCAGATCAGTTATTTAATCCTTGCGATACTACTTTTGTTTACTATTTCCTGTTGTTTTATTGTTGAATAAGGAAACTGACATAATTGGAAGCTGGAACACTTGTGTTTATTTTTTACAGCCAAACCTCTAATTTGAAAATGTTTCCTGGAAATATGAGAGGTATTCACTAAGGGCTAGAGATACTAAAAGAAATGAATAAACAAACAAACAAATAAATAAATAAATAAATGGATTGTGATGAAGCGTGAAAGGAGCTAAGGCACCAAGCATAAACAGAGATATGGCAAATGGATTATCTTGTATGCTGACAATCTTCATATAAGTTGGAGCCCTTCTTTAAGGAAATAATATGGCAAGACATATTTGGACAAATGCCATGGTGCTTACAGAAAATCGGAGTGCTGAAATAATCCTGGTATCACCTAAGTGCTTAGTTTTAATAAATCATGAAAGATTAACACAAATGACTCATTATATAGTTATTAAAATGATCATGCTAAATAGGTAAAAAACTGAATGTTTATGATAGGATACTGTATGACGATAGCAGAGCACAAAATAATACTATGTTTGCTATATAAAATAAAATAATACCACTAAAAAGTCAAAATAAAAAGTACAGAAATTCTTCCTGTTTTACTAGGGATGACTTTTTTAAAAAAATTATTTTATATTTGTTTGATCTTCTTAAGAAAAAAGGAGATTTTACAACTTAGATTAAAGCTACCATTTTTCCAAACAATTTTAGTATAAAACTTTTCATTAAAAATTGACATGTCTTTAAAAAAACAAAAAACAAAATAAACAGTAGAACACCTTGAACCTAGAAGCCAGGCGTTCCCAATCTGCAACCAGCTAAAACCATTTCAGTCTCTTCCTCCTGTGGTCTCCATGGAGCTCACAAAAAACAACTCTTGTTCCGGTGATTTTAAAAAGTGAAAAAGTGAGCAAAAGTCTGGGGCCTCACCTGATCATTGGCTGATTTGGTTCTTAGCGAGTGGGTTCCGAGAAGACACATTACTATTTGAATATAATTGATTTGTTCCTTTATTTTTTCAGTTGGAGGATGTAATGCTATTTATTTATAACCATTTAATTTTAGCTCCAGTAAATTTATATACTTTTAAAAGTTTTCACTCCCATAACATCTTTCTGCAAGTCTTTCCTTGTTCAGCTAAAGGAAAACCATACTTTAATTTCAGTTTTAAAACTCACTCTTCAAAAGGGCGTTTTCTGACCCTCCAGTGAAGATTATAATGCACCACCCAACCTTATCACATTTCCCTTGATAACACTTTGTTCCTAGCACAAAGTATAGCACATCACTCATTTCTCTGTTACCATCTGGCCCCCAGTGTGGAAACTAGAAAAGCATGGATATCCTCTCTGTTTGAATCATACTATCTAAACTTGTTACTTGATACATAACATTTTATATGTTATTATATGCAAAGCCCATTTATAGTGCACAGTTTTGCCTTGTCACATACTGGATTTGTTTGCTTGACTATGAAATCTTTCATTTTGTTATAAATAGAGGTGACTTTATAAAAAGAAATCCCGTTCCCACTTAAATATAATTACTAGGGCAACATGTTCACAAAACAGCATTCATACTTTGTTCTTTTTCTTTTAATCCAGGAGAAATCAATGACTCAGCCGACCATACAATGTTTTCGTTTCACAGTGGAGGTATCCAGATTTCTTGTAAATACCCGGAGACCGTCCAACAGCTCAAAATGAAGTTATTGAAAGGGGAAGAAGTTCTCTGTGAGCTCACCAAAACCAAGGGAAAGGGAGACGGGGTGTCTATCAAGAATCCAAAGTTGTGTCCATATGAGATGTCCAACAGCAGTGTTTCCTTTTTCCTAAACAACCTGTATGGATCTCAGGGCAGCTATTACTACTGTAGCCTGTCGATTTTTGAGCCACCTCCTTTTCAAGAAAAGATCTTTGGTGGAGAATATTTGTATATTTACGGTAAGACATTAGTTGGACTTATGTGCATTTCTGAGACTTTTCTCATCAAAGGACACAGACAAATGAGTATCTTTTGTGTTACATTCTTTATGTGTAGTTGGCAACAAGTCATCTTGGATGAAATATGCAAGGAATGATGTGTTGTTCATATTAAGTTGATGTTTATCAGGAATAAGTGATTTAGTTACCTATACTGTTGAGTTACAATTGGGGCCTAATCTTTCAAACACCCAGATCATAGCTCAGTGGATATTACCTTTGCTCACTTAAGGAGAATGAGATGAGACAATTTGAAAATCAGTTTTATACCATGGATTTTCCTACTTACTCCTGTGACAGCTGCAGATGGAAAGTCTCTATCACATTTACAAACTAGCATAGTGTTTCCAGCTTGAATTTCAGAGTCCTTGCTACAATGTGGAGGTGATGTTGGTTGCCATCTTCTGGATCTCATCATTGTAAGGAAGAAAAGCCTTCCTTGATTAAAAAGCTTCTTTATGTTTTATGAAAACATTCTCTCTATGCAGGTATGAGTGAGGACATGCATTTCTGAGTCTTTCATCAATGTTTCTCTCTCCCACCCCACCCACCCAGAATCACAGCTCTGCTGCCAGCTGAAGCTCTGGTTGCCCATAGGGTGTGCAGCTTTCATTGTGGTATACATTTTTGGATGCATATTTATCTTCCGGTTTGCAAAAAAGGTAAGCGATTTCTACTTTTGCTTATACTCGTTTTCCTGGTTGCTTATTTACTCATCAATGCTTGATGCTTTTCTCAGAGCAACCTGAGCAAAAGGGAGGACAATTCCTTTTCCCTAATTTACACACTGATTAAACTAATGACTTGGAACAGAGATTATATGTTTGTTTTTTAATAGCTCACTTTATTCCCAAAAGGACTCTGGGGGCTTACAGAGATACATTATTATTACTATTTTTTTTTTCACAAAAAGATAGAAAATTGGGGCCTGTCAAAGATAAAGGTTGGGAAGGAGGATAAAACATAAAAATAGATACCTTTGATTCTTAAAAATTGTTAAATGTTGGATTAATATTTGAATATAAGCTTCTAAGAGTCAAGACAAAGCTGAAACAATTAGCTGTTAGGTTTCTCTTAATTAGCAAATTGAAACAGTGAGATTATCTTACTAGGTACCAATAGTAGCTAAGAAGGAAACTGCTTCTTTATAGGTTATGTCGCCAGATTCCTGGTTTTTTAAGGAAAATGTCTGAAAAGCTATTCAGGACAATGTAATAGGGACAACAAAGTATCTCTTTTTGTTGTGGAACATTCTTTTTAGCTGTTCACACAGCAGATTCTCAGTCAAAGAACTTACTCCATTCTGCATATTATGTGTACATGACAGTATGTAAGTGCATGCTCCTGTGACTGTCAACGAGACGTGTGTATGTGTGTGTGTATGTGTGTGTGTGTGTGTGTGTGTGTGTGTGTGTGTGTGTGTGTGTGTGTGTATGTGTGTGTGTGTATACATGCATACTTCTAGGCACAAGAGTCTATTCTCTCCTTCCAACACTTAGGCACTGGGAATTGAACTCAGGTCATCAGGCTTGGCAACAATGCTTTTTTTTTCCCCCCACTGAGCCATCCTCATAGGTCAGAAAGCTCTTTTTAATTGGAAACCTTTTGCATATTGTTCTACTGAGTCTAAGTCCATAATTAAGCTTTTGTCACACGCCACTTCAACAAAAACTGGAAAACAAGCATGAAGGTGGGGAGGTGCAGATAATAAACCATGTTCCCAACTTTCTCTTCCAGAAGTACGGATCCAGCGTGCATGACCCCAATAGTGAATACATGTTCATGGCGGCAGTCAACACAGCCAAAAAGTCTAGACTTGCAGGTATAGATTCCCTTTGGGGCTTGGGGAGGGAAGAGCACTCTTCATTATTAAGACCTGAATTTTTTATTTATTTATTTATATTGTAAAAGAAAGGACAATTTTAGTATTTTATGTGAAAAATCTGGATTTTTACTTTAACTAGGCTAGTCCATTCTTTAGTATATTAAACACAATGTTTGTAAATCACTATTAAAATAAATTAACTTTGTAAATCACTATTAAAATAAATTAACAGGGTCACGGATGTAGTCCAGTTGGTAGAGTGCTCATCTAACACATATGAAGCCCTGGATTCAATCCCAGAACCACAAAAATGGGCATAGGGTCACACACCCGTAGTCCTCGAACTCAGGAGTTGGAGGTAGGAGGATCATAAGGGCAAGATCATTTTTAGCTTATACAGTGAGTTGGAGGCCAGTCTGTGATATATGAGATCCTGTTTTAAAATTAACAAAAAGAAAGAGAGAGGGAGGAATGGTAGAGAAAGGAAAAGAAAAGAAAAAAAAAAAACAGGTTGTAGTAAGAGGATAGCAATTCAAGCCTAGCCTGGGCTAACAGAATGAGTTGCTCCAGGCCAGGCTGAGGCACTTGATGCATCCCTGTCTCCAAATAAAGAGGAAAAGGGGGCTGGATATGTGTTCAGCTCACTGGTCGAGCACTTGTCTACCATGCATGTGGTCTTAGGTTCAAAGCCTAGTACAAAAGAAAAAGATCCATAGGTCACAGTTCTTTCAAGGCAATTTTCAACTAAAATTTAACCATTTGAGGAATATCTGGATCTTCCTTGTGGTAGCGTTCATGCAATCAGACAGTGCACATTTATTGAATACCCTTAAGTGCAACCTTTTGAGTAAAGGACCAATGGGTGATGGGGACTTTTGGAAGAGGCTGAGAAGAGAGGTTTAGATTGATGCTGGGGTCTGGGGATGCGTAGGAGAAATTCATGATGATACTCAGTTGTTTGGAAATAAAGAATGTGCAAACCTGGGTGGCATTGGAAATCCAGCTGAAGCTTTTTTCTTGTCCATTGAGAGGTAGAGGTGGGTGCTGTCAAGTCTGAGGAATATCCAGAGCGCTTGAAACATCCATTGTGGAAATTTTACACATCTTGTGCTCATGAGTAGAGTGATGTGGGGCAGGAAAAGAAACAGAAGCATCACATTTTGCTACCACTCAGTGGCTCAGGGACGCACATAGATTGTCACAGGATCACTGCATGGAAGGTCTAACCTCGAACGGTTAGTCTTTATTGCCTTTTCAGATAACTGGGGCTGAGGTCCAGACATCCGATGTCTCCTTTCCAGACAGTTAATACCACAGCTTTGGTACTTGTTACCAGCTTTGTTTGATCACTTTGCTCCTGAAAAAAAAAAAAAAAACCAGGAGCATACTTCATCCCAATCATTGTGTTAGTAATAAAGTGTTCTATCTTAGTTTGAGTTCCCTCAAACAGGACCTGAGATAAGGTCTTGGGTACAAATAGTTCACTGGAGTGGTAACCGCTAGGTGAAGTAGCAGAGGGGCAGAGAAGAGAGAGATAGGCAAGAAGAAAGGCAACTGTAAGGTTGAGGGTATGTTACCAGGGTGTTGGCACCTGGTTCTGGAGGTCTGACTTAATGGGACCTCTGTCAAGTGTACAGAGGCCTCCCACAACTTATGTGAAGGATGGGAAATGGACCACTTAACCACTGGTTTCATTACTACAGGTGGGAGCTCGCCCTTATCACTGAACTGGGTTCAGAAAAAGCCATTCTCAAGTCTTCAGAGAAAGCTAAAGGCAGGAAGGCAGAGTGAGGCACAGGGGGGCGATGGTGCTGGAGCAGTCCGCATGTGCAGATAAGCCTTGCCTGGCTGCGGCTGGAACCAGTGGTGGACACTTCCAAGTGAAGTGTTCAGATAATGTCCAGGCCTACACCAAGAGTGGGATGAACAAAGCTTCATGGGAAATGAGGACCTGGTGTTGGGTCTTGGAGCATGAAGATTTTGTGTGTGTGTGTGTGTGTGTGTGTGTGTGTGTGTGTGTGTGTGTGTGTGTCTGCTTATGGGTGTACACCACAGGGAAAAGCAGAAAACTTTTTGAAGGGAATTCAACTCATGTGGAATTTTTGTTACAGGCATGCCCTCATAATCTGGACCGCTCTGGCATCCATGGAGGAAGCACCCTGACCAGTTCCCCTGAAACTTGAACCGAGAAATTCTATTTTCTGGACCACAGGGCATCTGACTTGATCTGACTACAGCAATCTCCTTTGGGTATTTTGTTTGGATCAGTGACTGTTGGGCACTCAGAATTTCAACAGACTGCCTGGGAATTGCTGAGTTCTTTTAAGGCAAACACCTTCTTATAGAAGGTCCCGCTCATGTGTACTCAACAAACAGACCTCACTGGGTTAGAATCCTCTCTCTCCGCACCTGCTTCTAGCTACACACCGGCCAGTAAAACAAACACATCGACAACATTTTCACAAAAATGCCAAGGGTATTAATCTGCAAAGTGCACGGGCAGCCAAGGGCCAGCATCTGCCCTCATTTTTCAGATTATTCTTGCTGTAGTGATCAATAGTCCTTCTAGAACCAGACAGTAGAGGGAGATGCTTCATAACAGTAGCTCTTGTGTTTCTGAGATGTTGATGTATATACTACATTGAACTCATACATTAGTGCCAACACAACATTCTCTTCCAGCTTCTAGACTCCAGTTCATCACTGCTCGAGGGGTTTAGATACCTTCTCTTGCCTTCAATTTCCCTTGAAAGATTCTTCCACATGTCTGCTTGGCAGCCTGCAGCCACTCCAAGTAGGAAGTCTACATTTTCTCCCTTCTGTTGCTCAAAAAAATTAGTGGATATAATTTTCCATATTCTCCCTGCCAAAGTAGGGTTTTTTTTTCCTTCAAAGACATCTTATTTTCTCAAATTCAGTTAAAATGTGTTGATACTAGTGGTAGGACACATTGCTCAGAATCAAGCGCAAATTAATTTTGTTATTGTGTTTTCTACCATTATCTGTGTTTCCATGGTGCTATTAATCACAAGCGTAGCTATTTTTGTAGATCATATTAAAGTTGCAAGCAAGCAAAGCAACCCATGGTTAATGGGCAAATACTCTCCTGGGGTAGAACGGATGATCTATTTAGCCTGAAAGCTACAGTTTCTGGAGGTGGCAGCCAAACTGTGGCCATCCTTCCTCTGGATTTGATAGATGGAAATGGTTTCCATGAGCCTGTTCTGGAACGCCAAGGTTGGGAGAAGTCATTGAGCCTGGGACAAGTAGCTCCTTTGGTCTCTAGGATCTGTGAAGATGCACAGAGGAGCCAAGACAGAGTTCCCTCTCCTAGAAACTATGCAGCCTGGAAGTCAGCCCTGGCACTTTAGCATAGTCTTTAGAACATGAGTTAGCTGGAAGGATTCTGAAGTGCAAGCAGCATGTGGTTGCTCTGAGCTGGACCATTTTCTCCACGTTCCTGTCTGCATGCCTAAGGCTTTTGGAGCAGCCAATGTGTATGCAACATTTTTTTTTTAAACTTTAAGTAAAATAAGGCTGCTTCATAGTCTTAAATTGTAGTTGTCTACTTACAGTTTACTTTAAAAGTGAGACCTGATGTATCATTATATACTTATTAAGTTAAGCATGTGTAATGCTGGCTATGTACAGTACAGTACTGAACCTGTAATTTGAATCAAGTATGGTATTCTCTCTTTTCAGCTGACTCAGGCAGCCTGGCTGGCTTTGCAAGGACATTTCCCTGAGTTAGATGTACCTTTCTGGGTGGGGGTGAAGGTGCGGAGGCTGGCCTTCACGTTGTTCTATGAAGGATCCCCATCCCAACACTGAACAGTTAACAATGAATTATTAAAGAACGAAATTTCTGTGAAATAGAAACTGGCTTAAAGAGGAGCCACTTGTTACAAGATATTAGCAATAGTAAGAGTTAAAGGATAAACATTTGTGTCTAGCAATGGAATATAATCTCGCTATGTTTTCGGGGGGGGGGAGTAGAGAAGTGATGATCTTAGCTGCCACATACAAATTAGCCCTTGCTTTCCAATGACTTGTGTCCTGTGTAAGATATTTGCTTCCTTCGTCTTGCTCTCTCCCCTTTAAACTTTGAAATATCTACAAACTTGTAAAAGAGCCAGAAGCACAGGACAAAGAGTGTTCTGCTCCTGAGTTAGTTCTGCATTGACCTCCTAGTCCCACGGAACGGTGCTGCCCATTTCCTACAGAAAAGAAGGGTGTACTCTGAGGACTGGACTACCGCTGATATCAGAAGGTTACCATGTAGTCTTCGGTCTGCATTCAAGATCTGCCCCTTGCTTCTAAGATACATGTAGGAGCTGAAGGTTCTCCCAGGGACTTCCCTTTGTGTTCAGTTGCTCTGTCTCTGGAGTGTTCATTCTGGACGGTTCTTCAGTCTGTGACCTTGGCTCTTTTGCATACCACAAGCCATTATTTTGTAGAATGTTCCTTGTTTGGGCTACTCTGATGCTTCTTCACGAATAAAATGAGGTTATTCGTCTTTCTCAGAAATAACACAGAACTGGTATTGTGTTCTTCCAATTGTGCCCTAAAGGGCAGCTCACAGCTTTGGTTTGTTATGTTCCTGCTAATGTTCATTTTCATCATTTGACTGAGGTCATGTCTGTCACGCTTCTCCATTGTAAAGTTAATAAATAAACCCCCATAGTTAATAAACTCTTTTGTGAGAAAATATTTTGAAATCCTCTGTTCCTCATCATAATTTCACTTTATTCCTGTGGTCATTTGTAGCTTCATGGTCTCATGGTTTCTTATTTTGTTCAATGGGTAAAAATAAATGTTATTATTATTATTCTATTTTCCCTTTTGTTGTTTAGAAATAGTGTCCTGTGGCTCTGTCTGACCCTCAAATTTGCTAAGGATGACCTTAAATTTCTGATTCTTCAGCCTCTACCTTTGAGGGTTGGTATTGCAAGCGTGAGCCACCACACCTAGTTCTTTTGTGATAATGGGATTGAAACCAGAACGTCGAGTACGCTAGGCAAGCACTCTGTCAACAGAGTTGTATCTCCAATCCATGATTCTGCTTTGAAAATGAAATTGTCCC